GTTTTGTGTGGGAAGGGTGTCTTCATAGTGACAAAACAGGAAGTAGAATTTTGTTTTATAATTTGTTACGTCCAATCAGATCTCACTGCAATCTCGCACGGTATCGTGTAGAGGCCTTAAAGTCGAAGACACGAGACCGTGCGATTCGAACGATGACTCTCGTTGTAATTTGTCATCTCTGTGTTTTCTTTTTATTAAGCAACATATCGATATACAACGAACAAACAAGTCAAAGAAATATAAATACTGGTTACAAAATTATAATATGTTCAATACGGAAAAGCGTTGTCTTTAAAGCAGATGTAGCCAGATTTGCCTGGTACCCTGTCATTGTTTCAAATATTTCAGTCTATTACTGCATATAGAAAACAGTGACTACCGTCCCTGTATTCTAAACCAGCATTTTATTTTGCTTGTAGTTCTGAAGTGCATACCTGTAATAGCAATGCACATGGTAAATCTCTTCTCGCTATTCGTGAAAAAAATACTACGATAGTTTTTTTTTTCACAGTAGCACCAAGTTATACAAGTACACGAGTCAAACCAGATTTTAGAACACCTTGGATGTGAACTGACTCATTTCAAACATCGTCACGTACATGAAAATTGGTTGTTTCTCTCGGCGTCTATTCTTAGTTCCACTGAATTACATGGCTGTATTTAGTAAAAAAAGAAATAATAATTAGACGGCAATGCAATTGAGTAACTGTAGACGTTCACTAATTCATGTAATTATTGTTTGAAAATAACCTGGTCTATGCAGAATGGAAGCAACATGTACCGAATGATAATCGTGAGTGATAACAGCCATGATACGAAATGCGGTCATGACACGATTCAGAACACAAACAAATCTAATCCCGATATTTCTTGGCAACAAATGCACTCCAGTACAGTTGGCATCAACTGGTAATTGACACGAACATCTTTCTCTGCATTTCCGTTTGTCCATATCAACACTGGCTTCCGATTCATCGCCGGAACTTTCACTTTCCGTCAAACATTCTCTGTCATCGCCTGCACTGTGCTCAAACTGGCATGGCTATTTAACTGTTATACCAAACATGTCAAATTCCGTTTTATTTTCATTTTTATATTTGCTAACGCTGGAGTTTTCCATCGGAACAAGTGCTTTGTGAAGAGTAGATACTGTCCCGGGATACTGCCATCGTATACGTGTGATAACGCAACTGTTCAGAAATGACGTCACAGTTTAGCCCTCTACGGCCAGATCACGCCAATGAGAGTAGCGGTTTGCCACCAACTTAATAACCCATTTTTATACCAGTGTTATGAAGCAATAAAATATGCATATGTCCTATTTTTTAAGTACACTCTATCCAGAGGCATCAGAGAGCATGAATATAACATAAAATTCTACAGTTTTTTCGTAATTCGTACGCAATTTCCAATTTTGTTTCTTAAACACAAATTATCAAATATATTATAAAAGTGTAAATATAATTAGGAATTTGCTTTATCTGTAAAGGGTTAAAACTTATTGTTTCTGTAAATGAAACTTTCATTTTATTTTCTGTATAAAACGTAAAATGCTTTTTTTATTTCCTGTAACCTGTACCAGCTATCTCCACAATTGAAAATAAAAATCGGAGAAAAAATATCGGTAGTTACAGCTGTTACCGCTTTAGTGTCCACAGTGGTCAACCGGACCACATGCACCATTATGTCATTATGAAGGGAAGATGGTCATATAGTTTTGTCGGAAATGTAGTCGAAAAACTGAATATACGTTCAGCGGGGTAGTTTGAGCAGGATAAAATCGACAATGTAGTATATTAGTCGTTTGTATTTCAGTTACACGAATCACGTTCACCAAAAACGGACATGTGAGTACACGGTGATTTTCTAAATGAATGACTCAAAGAGAGCTTGTTATTTAAACGATTCGTAAATATGTGGAGAAATATTGGTTATGAGTCAGTTATTGCACTACTCAGATACTGTCTGATAAAAGGGGTGTACGTGATACCGTTTATGTCATGAGAACGCCGCGTTCGGCATTATATTATGAATTAACGCCATACCAAAAATAAATGATTTGTCATATACGTAAAATTAATATGAATTCATTATTGTTAAAACATTTTTAGTAATTGACATTTTATTTAGTTATTTTCCAGTGCGGTCTGAGAATTTCTATTAGTTAGTAATAGGTTAATTTAAACTCCGTCTTAGAAGCAGAAAGGTTTTCGATCATTGGATGGCTATTGCATATTGGCGAGGCGAGGTCCGAATAAATGAACTCATGACATTGAACTCAGAATTGTAATCTGCACAGAAATTGTAAGCCATTGCAACAAATACATTCATAAATCGCGCCCTTCAGTGACGAAAATCTTCTTTGACGAAAATGGGTTACAAATTGCTTCTATTGGTAGTCTTTCATCAATTAAGATTATGTTTTTTTATCACTGTATTCTATACGAAGAACGACTACACAACTAATCACAGTACAGTAGTCGATTTCAACGACATATATTGCACTCACCCATAACGTCATTTTGACGTCACAGAAGCGTCCTATCATTTATAGAAGGCACAATTTATAGAATTTGCATATCGGCAAGACTATACGTGTTAGTGCGTTATATATTGTGAAACATCTTTGACCATATCAGAGCCCCAAGGCAGGAACATTATGATAAATGCGTGAGCTAGATTACTTTAGGTTTACTCTTGATGTCGAGAAAATATTTGTCCATTTGTTAGGCCAATTGAAACACCGGATCGAGAACATTTCAGAAGGGATGAACCATTAGGTACTAGGTCGATGGAAAAAATACACAGGGAAGAATTATGAAAAAATAAGAATAGAAACAGAAACAGAAATATAAATATAAATATAAATAGAGCAATAAAATATACAGCGAATTCATCATTGAATAAAATAGCACGAATATATTTTTGCCAAGTTTTTCTGCCATCACCCCAAAGTTTCTAATGGTTCATCCCTAACTGTACGTCACATCATGTTTGATGTTCGCATTAATTACCTACCTCCAAATTTACGGTGTCTAATGTGAAAAAAAAACTAGCATTGTGTCTGTATATAATGAGACACCTGATGCTGATGCTACATACCTTACGAATATCATTTCAACACGTTTCCGTTTCTAACATATTGTTATTTATACGAGAGGCGACTGACATACACTTTGTTTCCTTGGACGGTTCTTTCACATAGATGTACATTCTGTTTTTGTTTGTTTTTTAAACCAGGTTCAAATTGAATAGCGTTGAATAGCCAACGATCAAATAATAGGCAACTTTTTACTCGACGTAAAATGATTAATTTCAGTGATGTACGCTCAAAGTATAGGTAAAACCCAAGGTTTTAGAAATAGACATTGGTGAACAATCAAATAATTGTAATGAACACCCGTGTACAGTGTATACGGCCAGGCCGAATCGTTTAAAATTTAGCACTTCGTAACTTGTTACTACAAAAAATTCACCGATTAGCGACAAATGCTAAAGCGTCGCTGCATCTATTTCATGTGTACAAAATTTACTTTTTATTTTATTTATTCACACATGGAATTGTAGACATTCTGAAAATGCAACCCCATTGTCAATACGTGGGGGGGGGGTCTGCGGAAAATCATTAATACTCATTTGTTTGGAAGGCCAGTATACTCTGATATGATACGTCACATTTTCAATTTACGTCTGACACTACACGAATACAATCACAATATATTTAAAGGATGGTGGTCGTGGCGCAGCGCGTGTTCGAATTTAATGTAAACAATGTATTTTACACGCGTCGTTATACACGCGTTAAATGCTCCTTTATCGTAGATGGCGATATCATTTATTTATGCTGTGGGTGGCATAAAGATGATTATGATTATAGTTTTTCTGCGATACCTATGTACAGTGCAAGTGCACAGTTAACGCATACACGCACGCTTAAGTTGAGGAACGAACATGCTTCATGTCTGGAGAGGAAAACTGTGATACCGAAGACTCGGAGCCCCAACTGATTATAACTTAGCCACTGATTATATGTCTTACATAGTTTAATGAATGAGTGGATGAATGGATGGATGGATGGATGGATGGGCGGATGAATGAATATAAGTTTATAGAGTTGGTGTTCCTTTTTATTCCATGTAACCATGTCGAGTGTATGTGTGTATTCAAGACTGCAATACCACCTGATTCGCATACTTGATCTTTGTTATTGGAACACACGTAATATATCTATTGTGTATGGGATAAAATTGAATGGATATTATCCATTGATTGACTTTCCGAACAATTAATAATTAGTAAATACATTAATTACCTCGTTCAGTATTAATTTAGGTGCGTAGAATGCGCATATTTAGTCTGCGATTAGGTTGATCATTCCACTTTTTAATTTACATTGAAAAACGCACAATACTATTTACTATCATGATGTACGTAGTGTTAACGTGCCAGTTTGAATCGATAAATACAATAACAAAAAATAACCAGACTTGATAGTATAGTTTCAACTTTCCTTATTTGCAGTTTGTGGGTTAGATATTGCTGTGATTGAATGGTAAATTTATTAAACACCACTAGTCATGCCCTTTGATTGATGCAAATGTCTGTAAAGTTAGAAAAAAGATACACCTTGATTTTGATGTCTTTACCATCACCTTTATCTTCATCTTGGCTGTACTCGTGAAATTTCAATATGATTTGTGCGGTAACTGCGTTTGATATATATCAATTAAAGGTTGACCGTAAGGTTTGTGAATACACATTGTCGAGCTTCATTGTTATCTCTATAATATGACATGGACTAAGAAAATATTCGATTCATGCTATGTACTTGAATTCTAACAAAGTTGTAGTTTTTCACAAAATAATTGGCATTTCTCGAAAATGCGCTGGTACTTATTCAAAATTGACAAGTCCACACTGTCGAGTATTGCGCTTATAAGCAATGCAATATCGGCAAAGGTTCCAGTATACAACATTGGCTGACAAACCCATGTATAACGATGACTTCCGTGGTGTCCAAATTGATTCTCATTCTCGTTATATATCTTGAGTGTGGAGTGGAGTGCACAAGCAGTAAGTATGAATCAGTTCTGTATGAATTCATTTGAAAAATACAGATTACGTACATGGTGAACTAAATTCGATAACTGAATGTTTGTGCGCACAGTTCGGCAAACAACATGTGATCAACGTATGTGAAGTGCTTCTCTTTAAAACATTGTATAAGAATACGTGTACAAAATATTGGAAACAAAGTGTTGTGTATGTACAGTTCAAATGATAAACCGTTACATTTTTTCAAGAGAATTCTTCTTCAGCGTGTACGTAAATGATGTCTAATTGAACAACATTTTGATAACCACACAAATTTGAATTAGTTGGAAGTACAAAAATGTCGTTTTATTCAATAATTGACAAATTATTTCATACAGTAAAATAATGCTGTGTTAAAAAGTAAATTACGTAATTTGTTTGCTCTAGTGAATTCATGGTATTCTTTTTGAATGTACATTGAATACACATATGCATTATTCTAACAGAGTACGAAGTTGGAGTGACCGAAAACATACCCGGCGTAATCCCGCGCCTGTGTCTTTCACTTGGAGAACTATCATGTACGGAAAATGGTGATACTTTTGAATCAGCTGTTTATGAATATGAAGGAATTCCGTGCTACCCTCCTGGGGTTGTTTCGACGTGCGAAGAAAGGCTAAATGTAGCCAACGAGGTAGGACCAGATTTTTGTTCAGTACTATAGCCTACACCAATGAACACCAGAATCTGGGGTGAGCGGGGCTTCATTGAGGATCCTGTTTATCTCATTGTCGAGATAAAATGGTAGTATAGAGAGATCGGTAAATGTACTACATTTAAAAACCTACGAGGTCGTCTGGTCAAAAGAAAATTCGATCAATAGTGTCCTTGACAATAAACAAATCATCAAAACACCGTCCTCCCCAAAGCCTCGTCGCAACACACGTGCTGCTAGAGCAAGTGGTAGCACATCATTACTATCGAAGAGCATCATTTGCTGTTATCGAAATGACCGTAGATGATGATTGAGCAATGATGCTGTCAGCAGCGGCGAAGTTAGGCCTAATTACCGTGGAAATTTGTGCATTACATAGACTTATTTGGTTTTCAAATGTCGGGAATCAGACAAGACTTGTTTGCACTCTTAGAGAGGTGTCTGGATCATGTAAATATAACATCAAATTGTCGGGAAACAATCAAATGGCAGGTATAGGCAATGGGATGTGCTAGGCTATGGAGTTGCAATCGGGGTAGACAACAATAAACTGGTAGATAAGCCCTGCAGCAACTCGACACTAAATAATGCAAATCAAAATCACAAAGTCTGACTAATTGACTGAGTGATTGACTCAAACAGTTGGTGACGTAGTTGGGACAAGTTTAATACATGGTCTCTGATTTATCGCTAACACTGCAGTGTGAAGCTGTGTGTAATCCAAGTGCTGCAAACTGGAGATAGGTGCTCGTTTTCACTTGTCACCATTTGGATCCCAAACGTCTTTCGACCACAACTTGCAGATACCGCAGGTACACGCCATTATCTCACTCTCCTACCGAAAGCCATGTAGATATTATAAGATGCCCGAATGACTGTTGTTTGGACCATTTAAAAACTATTCACTGTTCAATATAACTATTCACGGTTACAAACCCTGTAGTCTCGTCATGCCTTTGGACCGGAGTTTGTCAAACTAATAGCATGTTCAGCTTGTATGACTTGCATTCTTGATGTTGAACAATTTCTCATTCTTTTTCCCAATCAATGTCTAAATATTTGTTGTCAGCACCACTTAATGCCACTGTTCAAAACCATCCTTGAGAAAAGGATAATTAGTAAACAAATGTTTTTTAGTTTCGTCCAAACTATTAAACTTGGGGTTTTCCCGGGAACGACTAGCCTTGATATTCAAGTTTTCATGCACATATCACGAGCTCTTACAGAGTAAGCTTTAGATTGTGGTCATTATGTTGTTTGTCCGGCGTAGATCTCCAGCATATAATAAAAACGATATTAATATTACGAATGAAATATAGTGGATACCAATCCAATAACTTGGCATCATCGTGCACATTGGGATTAGTATATACATGTACCGATTGCAGAATCGGAATTTGAATGATGCCAATGAATCAAAGTGTATGTGTTCCTATCAAGTCGTCTCGCCCAATGTGAAGTATTTGGTGGTCTGTACCACTTGGAATTTTGTACTTGTAGCAACCATGAGTTACCACATATAATACAGTGACTTGATTCGTTATGTGGTGCAAATATCTTTGTCAACCGACCAACAAACAAACACAACGCTAATAAATATTATATTACGTGCAATGTTTCTTAAATTAATAAATTACATTAATGCTTTATATACTATTGTTTATTGTAGAGTAACTTTTGCTGCAAGATAAGGTTGTGCATTGAATTATTTTATTAGGTATGGAAAGGAACTGCACCATTTTGTCATCCGAGTGAAACAGCCTGTGAGGATGCCTCCATGGATGAAGTGTTGACATCTCGATGCGACGGTCGAGATGGCACATGCTGTTGGACAGGACTTCCAGAGAGAAGACTTTGCTATCCGAGAGATGGGGAGGACCCAGTAGACGTACCGCATATCAACACGGGTAAGGACTCTTATATTATAGTTTTGTTTTACTTATTATTGTATTTTACTGAGTATTATATTATTTGGGATCAAGAGAGCTATAGCTTGCAATTGTTTTAGTGTATACCTACTGAGTGATTGGCTTGCTAATCAGTAGATAGATCAATTGTCAAACATGGCTAAATGTAAAAAATACTTTATCTTGTAGGTTTGGAATGCGCTATGTGTGATGTGTTTGGGTTTATCTGTGACGTAACTACTGAATTGGAACCTGATCAGCTGTTTCTAGATGGCGATCACGCTCGATGTTTGCCCCCGTCCCCAGTTCGACTGAAAGACAGACATTCCCATCACCTCAGTGTAATTAGTTACAACGTCTACGAAATACCATATCCTGTCGGACAGTTTGGCCAGAGAGAACGGGTGTGTCGTATCCCTAATCGTCTATTCGAAGAACATCCGGAAGTCGATGTGATAATATTCCAAGAAGTGTTTCTAGGTGGTTGTGGGTACGAATTTGGCGTTTCTCTCAGGGATCTATTGGCCGCAAACGGTTTTCTGTACACTACTGCAACTGTTGGAGACCCACCAGAATTGTATTTAAGACCCTACAATGGTGGTATTTTCATCGCATCAAAATGGCAAATCCTTTCTGAAAACTCGACAGTTTTTTCCCCTGTTGGCCCTTCCGATGATATATATCTAGCGAAGGGAGTAGCATACGCTACAATTGAAAAATCTTTCCAGGGCAGAAGCAAAGTGTATCACATATTCGGTACTCATTTGCAGTATACACCCTTAGGAGAGGCTCACACAATGTTTGATGTAATGAGAGTATTGCAAGTACAGGAGATGGCACAGTTTATTGTCGAGCAGAATATTCCTAAAAGCGAGCCAGTAATCGTAGGTGGTGATTTCAACGCTGATACTTATAATAATATGTATCATGAACATCGTGATGAAATATTCGAAATACTTGGTGCCAGGATGCCTAATATTATTGGTAATTGGTATACCACATATGATTCTGATTTGATTCCTGGGATATTTGTGGGTGCCGAACGTGAATGGATCGACTATGTCTTAACATTAAAAGATCACCAGCAGCCATCTTCTTCAAATCTTAGATCATTTCGCTTGGTAACCCACGATTATGACCGTATACTGTATTGTTACCCCGATACGGTCTATACTGATTTCATATTCCCTCCAATCACAGAGTCCGAAAATTGTATATCTGCTATCGACCTATCTGACCATTTTCCTGTAATAGGAACCTTCATATTTCCTAATTAAACACACACGTATTGTAGTTTTATCTATATAACATGTACGTACGTGCGTGAGTGGATTGACTACAAACTAACTTCAAGTTTTGATTCATTATGCTTAGTGTCCCACTGTTATGATTCTAGTGTATTGTTCATTGGTGTGATCTACATTCCCTAAATTCATACTATGTATATATTTTGTGTGCACGATCCATCTGATCATTTTTAGTGGTAGGAATCTTCATCTTTCAATTATATCTACTTAACACTTACATGACTCATTTTCCTATGCGTGTAACTAGAACACACTGTTAAATGTAAATCTTACTGAGCTATATATTGTATGTACTCTATATAGAAAATAATAATAAATATAATAATAAATGCATATTGTATATGTCCTCTGTGCTGGTGTTAATGTGATAGAAATGATTCTCTGTTATCAACCTAATGTATTGGACAATGTCGCCTACGACATATAACATTACGTCTAATTGTCTTCAAGTAAATTCCAACATAAGACACATTTGCCTTACTGGGAAAGTCAATCGTCGTTGAAATTAATAAAATACAAACTGCTCAAATCCAACGTAAGGAGCAGCTCCGTCGCCTCCTCCATTTTATAATGATGCCATCAGGTAGCAAAGAGACTTCCATGTAAACTCCTTAGGATTAAATGGTATTGAACGTATCTGCATACTGATTTACATTGCAGATGCAATTCTGTGTTGGTGTCTATATCGGAGACTAACTTACCTTTTTATCAAAGAATGGTTTGTATAATGTGCATTGGAAACACCGAGACAGTGCGTGTTAACAGGTATAACAGTTTTGTTCCGAGTCGAGTAAAATGCCCTCTTTCACACTTTCGGGTGAATGTTCCAGACTTATACGACGAAAAAAAACAATAAAATTCAAATATTCAGAAATCAGTTTCATTGCTCGTTCATAGCGCTGAACATAAAAACAGGTAAATTCACATAAACATAAAAAAGAGAACGTCCATCGGAATCCGTAGTAGCTACGACGTTAGAGGTCGTGTGTTTGGATTTCTCAGTTAGAACCATTGGCGAATATTGATAAAGAACCATATGTTGTAACTGGTAGCTAACACAGTGTCGGTTCACGGAAATAAGACTAATGATTGAACAAAAGGTCGCGTGGCCAAAAGCGGAGTGAGTCTCTATACAATACTAATATACAAGGGAATGATTAATAAATCCTTGATTTAGTTGTGAATGTTGGAATGAGTAGAACTTATTACTTTCGACAATATCTTAACGGTCTATTATGTTACCATTTATATACTAAAAGCACGTTCTCTTTCGTGTTAACACACCTTGTCAGATTGTAGAGGGCGTGCTAGCGACACGGGTATAACTCCCGATAGTCCACCATTAACAGAATCAATTTTATTATTGTTATCAATATGCTGATTTTCTTTAATATATCATACTCCTCATTCTATCCAATTTTTGTTTTGAACCAGATGGAATTACATTCATATACATGTGACGTTGCATTTATATTGAGTCTCAAACAATCAGTCAATTAATAACGTTAGCAAACAAAATTGTGAATTCAAGCAACATTGTCCCACACATCTACGTGAGCGAGGTGATTTAAATCATTCGCTCATTGTGATACATTTTTAAACGACTTCTCTGCATCAGATCAATATCACATTTCTGGAAAAACTTGGGTTATAGCATCCGAGGCTGGTTTATTAGCATTATTTGCATTTATATTTGTGAAAACTCCACACCAAGTCACAGTCCGACGGCTTTACATTCACCTCGATCACGAACAAATTAGCCGAGTATTAGTCTTACCAAAGCAGATGGAGGAAAATGTTGTAAACTGAAATACAATTTGTTTGCACAACCTATTGGCAAATTATTTTTGTTTCAAAAAAAGTGTTGTTGTGTCGAAAGTGTTGGTAGAATCTTGGTTGATGACGAACGCAAACCCGAATGGTATTTCAACGTCTTTTTGAAAAACATATAATTAGGATGCGAATGGTGAGTTCAATTATCCTTGACAGGAAATAAAATGTAAGTTAGCAGCGATCTGAATTAATAACTTCTATTTAACAACTACCTGTAATACATTTGTACTCTAATCGTTATTCTATTAATGCTTCAATATGTATCTGTGATAAAGTTTGCTGCTATCTGTTACTAGTATCTTGTTATTATTTTGTTTCCACAGATGGTCACGTACACATAGACATACATGTTGATTTTAATACTATGTTCATATTTACCTGGTCTATGTTAGCATATATATGTCACATTATTTAAATAAAATGTTTCTAGTTGAACATTCAATAGTTAAAACATAAGTGTCAAATGAGTGTGGCTTTGGTAACTGTGTGCTATAAACATTGGTTGCATTCAAACGTATTTATTCCCCTTTCGGTTTCGTGTTTGGTTACTACCTTATACTAAAATATGTTTTGATATTTAGATTACAAACAAATTCTCACTTCCGGTCCGGTTAGAGGTAAAATACACCACGAATATTCACTTTTGAGATAATTTTTTGTATGTGTTGGCTTTTGGATATCCAAGCTTTGTCGTCCTGTACTTCGTTTAGTAATTCGAACTTCCCAGTTTGCGTAAAAAGGGCGAGTTTCGCGATTTCGACATCGAAAATTTGCTGAGGGACGGCCGCTTTGGTATGGCTCTGTAACTTGCAGCACATGAACCTAAAAACCTTAGGTAATAAAACAAAAATGGCGTAGTACTTAAGTCCAAAAAGTACGTTCAAGGTCTGCATTTTTTCGTAGCATAAAAACGATTTGCTCCCTCGCTTATTGTGACACCCTCAAATCAACGGATTTTCATTCCCCTCAAGCATCAAAATGGTATGTGCCTCCATTTTACGCCACGACTCGAAACAGTCTTTTTTGCCTGACGTGTTCATTTGCCTTCAATAACGTTTCAGTGGCTGTCGCTGTCGTACGCTGAGTCTTGCCGATAACATTTTGGTTCAAATTCACGTACCTATCGTCGAGAAAACTCACATTTTCAACTAAGGCTAATTTGCATAACACTGTTTTTGCCCTTGGTCGTCATATTGGACACCGCATACAACTAGTTAGTAGGGAAATTCACTCACATTAAATTGCGTTCGCCGTGATAAGCAAAAATGTATTTCCACTAAAATACGTTCAAGATCTGCACTTTCTCATAGCATAAACATGGGTTTTACCCTAGCTTACTAAAATTAAAATATGATTGGGGTCGCAGTCACCGTAGCTGCATGTCGCCGCGGTAAGTAGTCTCTCACCTCTTGGATATAATTGTCGTCCAAATAATTCACGTCCAAAATGTTGGTTCCCTGGCGCCTCTAATAAATAAACTACACTACCGCTGGGCTGAATCAATGATATATCACCCCAAAATGGATGAATGGGCGAAAATAGTTTCTTTTTTTATTACCCCCGACATTTTTCGCTCGGAAAGCCATTCACGCCAAATTTCGATTACCCGGGCGCCTCTAA